AGATGCAGCAACCAAATGGAATGTTTGGGGATCTTATTGGGGCCCTGATTTGAGCAATTGTAAAAAAAAAAAAAAAAAAACATTTATGGGCCACTTGGAGAAACTTAAACTCTGAGGAGACATTAGGGAACATTGCTGTGATTAGGGTTTTTTGTGTTTTGCCTAATTACATTTTTTACTTGGAGATCATTTTAGATATGCATGCTGTTCTAAGAAGTAATGCAGACAGATCCCAAGTACCCTGTACCCAGTTCCCCCAATTGTGATACCTCACAAAACCCCAGCAGAGTATCGATACAGCCAAGATACAGAGGGCTCTCCTATGGCCCTTTGGTAGCTATATCCACTTCCCACCCATAACCCTGCCTTAGCCCCTGGCGACCAGTGATCCCTCTCCATTTCTATAATTTTGTCATTTGGAGAATGTTATAAAAATGGAATCACATGCTGTATAACTTTGAGACTGGCTTTTTTCACTTGGTACTTCTCTGGAGATTTGTCCAGGATGTCACATGTATCAGTTCCTTTTTTGCTGAATCATATTTGTAAGTGTCTTAAAAAGAAAAAGAGCCTTTGACTCTTAAAAGACACTGTAGGATTTTCAGGGCCAGGCATGGTGGCTTGTGCCTGTAATCCTAGCACTCTGGGAGGCTGAAGCGGGAGTATCACTTGAGGCCAAGAGTTTGAGACCAACCTGAGCAACAGAGACCCCATCTCTACAAAAAAAAAAGTTGAGTGTGGTTGTGCATGCCTGTAGTCCCAGCTGCTTGGGAGACCGAGGCGGGAGAATCACTTGAGCACAGGAGTTTGAGGTTGCAGTGAGCTATGATGATGTCACTGCACTCTACCCAGGCAGTAGAGCAAGACCCTTTCTCAAAAAAAGACAGTGCCAGATTTTCAGATGAGATGATAATGTCTGTGATTTGCTTTAAAATAATCCAAGAGAAGTGGAGATAAATGAATCATGATTTTTATATGTTAGTAGTTGTTGAAGTTAGTTGATGGGCTACATGAGTTTCAGTGAACTATTCTCTCCATTTGGGAGAGGTTTGAAATTTTGCATTATACAAAGTAAAAGGTATAGCACTATACAGTGCTATATGCAGAGAGAGGGAGCTGGCCACAACAAGTAAAAGTGGAACCAGTAGTTAAGTAAACAGCAGGAGTAGGGAAGTGTGTACTTTATTATTATAAGCTTTCCTGTACAATTTGATTTGTTGCCATGTACATGAATTATTTGTAAATAATTTTAAAGCTATTCTCTGAAAACCATTTGTCTTAATTGTGCAAATAAGCCGAAAGATAAACATTTACTACTGTTTCTTGACCTCCTTCACTGTGTGAGAATTATCAGTGATTTGGGAGTAAATGGAGCTGCTTTAGGGTAGTACACTGAGTTGTCCTTTGCTCCGGGTCATAAGCCAGCCTGACCACTTCTAGATTGAATGGCTCCCCCGAGGTTCCCATCACATGTAGCTTCTTTTGTTTATTACACTGTAAGCAAAGCTTTTATTCTGTGGTAAATTGAGATTTTGGTAAGTTTCTGTTCTTTGCTGATGTAATTTTATGGACAAGATCAGTACTGCTTAGATATATTTTCAGGACGGACGGACAGAACTGATATGCTTTAATTATTATGTGGGGAGCGGTGCCTCTGTTGGCCCATGACCATGAAAAAACAGAATTTTAGTCTTTCAGTCATGTTTAGCAGATTTTATGTAAGCTGAACTGTACTTCTTTTTCTTTGGTATTTATTCATTTATTCATTCATTCATTCATATCTGTTGAGTAGCCACTATGTGCCTGGCACTACTGAGGGTGCAGGGGACATCTTGTATTATACAAACAAAAATTTCCAAAATCATGCTAAAAGGGAATTTTGTTTCCTTACCTATTAATCAAACTGTTCTAGAGGTTGTAACCTGATGACATTGACCATAGTATATTAATTGACCACATAAGGCTTATGTCCTACAATAATACTAATATAATTTGATACTAAAAAATTTAAAGTTTATCAAGTGATAGGTTAATTAGCTTGATTTAGCCATTCCACAATGAATACATATATCAAAACATCATGTTGCACGCCATAAATATATACAACTTTTGTTAATTAAAAAATTTAAAAAAAAATATTTTTCCTCATATCAGTTCTCAAAGTAATAGGAAGTAGTGTAAAAGAATAAGAACAGCTAACACATAGCTCTTACTGTGGGTCAAGCCCTATGTTAACCATATCACATGTGTTAACTGATTTAACGCTCACCGCAGCTTTAGGTGATGATATGTGCTATTGTGATTCCTATTTTGCAGAGAAGGAAGTTGAGGTAACTTGCCCAAGATTATAAAGCAGTTAAATGGCAGAGTCGGGATTTAAACCCAGAGTATCTGGCACCAGAGGCCAAATGTTTCTCTTTTGCTTTTCATCTGTGAACCCCAAGTTAGAATTTTTCCTTTGTCTTGGCTTCCACATCCAGTGACCAAGCCAGCATTTTCCCAACTGTTCCATATAATGTCAACAGATGTTCCAGGAAAAAAAACTTAATGGAAAAATATTTAACCCAGCATTTTCCGAATGTACATAGAGATTATTTATACCAAGGACTTCTCAGAGAATTTAATGTTCGGTGTATGTTGTAAATCACCAAGAGGAACATTCATCTTGTACAGTTCTAAAATTATTTTTCCATGGAATGTTTTGTTTTGTTTTTACAGGATATCTATAGATATCTCTAGGAACACATAGTTCCGTGCCATTTCTGTACTCTTGAATCTCATCATTAGTTTCACCTAAATCTTCTGGGCTCCTCTAAATGATCTTTCTTAAATATGAGATCAAGTGTTGCTGCTCCCTAAGACACCATGCAGTGAGCCCTTTCTGCTTTCATGTGGTCTGCTGTGCACAAGGGCTCTGTCTGCTCTGTTAGCGTCTTCTGCCACCCCTGCGTGGCTCCACTGGCCATGCCCTGCTGCCTCACCTTGAGCTCATGCCTGTGCCCTTCCCTTCTCTTTGACAAGCCCTCTCCCCACCCCCGCACTTGGCCAAAAACAGTCCTCCCATGTTTGATATTTGCCTTGGACGTTGCATTTTCTGTGGAGTGTACCTTGAACACCTCCCGCAGGCCACATGGCCATCTTCTCAGCCTGGTATGGTACATATGGATGGTAAGTATTTGCCTTAGGCTGGGGGCTGCTCCAGTACCACATTCTGTTTATTTTTAGATACCATACCTAGCAAGTTATTACCTGGCATGCAGTGATTTCTCAGTAAATGTTTGATAAATTCCACTTTCTGGAAGCATTAATTGTTAAAAACATTTTATGTTGACCTAAAAACTGGTTCTCTCCCACATTTCATTGCTTTTGCTCATAACAGCCTTTGTAGTATGTCAGGATAGTGTTTGAGTTTCCCCGAAGTCTCTTTCACATGAAACTTTTTTTTTTTAACATGGAACATTATTTCTCAATTGCTATTATGGTACTCAGAATTGAATATAATATTGCATTCTGGATATTACTGAAGCAGTTTTTAATTTGTGTGGAAACCCGTTTTCTATTACTGTCAGACCTTTGTCCCCCCCTCTTTTACTTGTGCTTGTTAAAATCCATGTTGTTTTGACTTGTTCATCCTTATCTTGATTAACTCATCTTTTGTTTGAATCGGTTCAGCTAGCTTTGTGTCATTTTCACAATTTATGTATACACCTATTGTTTCTTCATCCAGACCTGGGAACAGAAAGCCGTAGCATTGCAGTGGTAACTCCTGCCAGGTTAATCCTGAACCATCATTACTACACCCTACTTATAAATACCTCATGTCTCAGTGTCTGCAATTCTACAGCATCTATGTAATGTTTTTTCCCTTATCCAGCTCTTGTTTTGGGAAGTGCTTTGTGGAAATATAGAAGGCTACCATACAATTTATAATTTATTCAACTTTTATTTATTGCTTCATAATTTGACTTTGTGTAAGTTACCTAACTCCAACCCCTGACTCAAATGCCTACAATTTTAAATGGAATAACTGATCTTACATTTTTCTGTAAAAATTATCCTTTAAATAAAACACTGTGCGAATGATGATTAGAGACGTTATAGAAGTTAAAGGGTCAAAATTGTACATGCTGCTACGTCTTTCTCAATTGCAGTGTTTTAACACATTTTCTCAGGTCTTAAAAAGTTACAGAAAGAGGAAAGGAAGAAAAAAGAAAAGTGTTGAGAAATCTTTATATGGGGAAAGAGACATTGCTTCCAAGAAGCCCCTCCTAAGTCCAATTCCTGAGGTGCCTGAGGTCTCTGAGATGACACCTTCAGTTCCAAGCTTCCGAAGGATGTATTCAGGTATCTTGTCCTTTTCCTGTTAGTTATATTTTATCTCTTCTCTTCACCCTGTTTGTTGATATTTCACTTTTTCCCCTTTTTCCTGTTCACTGCATAAGGAGTACATAAGTAAAAATAGCATGTTGCCATTTCCCCACGAAAATTTTAAGTGAAGGAAGCAGTAGTTTATAACTTTTAGGTAGCTTAAACCCTTTGCATAATCTGATAAAAGCTCTGGATCCTCTCCCCAGAAAAGCGAGACACAAGATTTTACGTATAATTTCAGGGGAAATAATTTCTGCTCATCCTGTTTATTTATGCTTTTTAAAGCATTTTTTTAAATTAAAATGAATTCCATTTGGTGGTATAGTCCATCATTTAAAGCAAACAAGGTGATGGTTCAGTAATAGATATATGAGTTAAGGACAAAAATTTTAAAATTAAAAAAAAAATTACCCGATGGATGTTTCATTCTAGTTGGCACTACTAAGCATCTTCTAGAAATAATATTTATAAATTGAGCTCAATGACCTTGAAGGTTTTGTTTATAAGTGAAGAGCAAGTCAATTGATACCCTGGGTAAGTAAAAAATGGATTGGAGTTGCTTCTGGTTTGTAATGCCTGAGGTTTTTTTTGTTGTTTTTTTTTTATTTCAGTACCTGAGTTTTAAATGGACTGAATTATGCTGAAAATAATGATATGTGTCCATTTGGCTTGTTGATTTTGTATAGAATCATTTTATAAATAGCTGCCTTTGTCAATCATCAGACATTCATAGCCTGCCTTGTATTTTTGCATATACTGCACAGGATTAATAATAGACTCGAGGATGAACGAGGTACATGCCACTACAGACTCTTGGCTTCTGCATACTCCTTAATTTTAGGATAGTGCAAGAGTTTAAATAAACAACCACCTCACAGTTGCACACACACCAGCTCACACTCTTCTCCTGCCCTGTCTTTTCATGTACAAGGGATATTCCACCCCACCTCTTTTTAATTTGGCCTGATGCTGCTTGTCTTCCAAGATTTCACTGTGCTGTCTGCCTTTCTGGGAAAACTGTTTGCAATGCACCTTTATTCACCTGGTTTTGTGATGATATCTTTTCTGTGTCCATTCCCACACCTGAAAGTGCAGTCTCCTTGAAAGTGGAAACTCTTTTCATTTTATCCCTGGTTCCTAACAGGAGTTTGCCAAAAGGCATTTAAACAATGACTGTTAGTATAATTTTCCACCTTGCATCCTATTAGAGAATTTCTTTTTAAAAATATCTGAAGCACTTTTTTTAATCTCTAACCATTGCTATCAACTGCTACTTGGGTTTGAAGCAATTTAGTTCCTTCCTTCCTTTCTCTCTCTCCTTCCCATTCTCCCTCCCTCTCCTTTACCTTCTCTAGTATGTTGAATTTTACAAAACATACATAAATACCAATTTCTAAAAATGTATAAAGAGCCCAATGTTTAAAGCTGTATAAAAGTATAAAGACACATTGGTTGACACTACTTGTACCTGACCTGTGTTAATCTGTGGCTTTACATGGCATGATTTTAAGTCCCCTGATCATGGATATGTTTACAAAGTAAAACCATATGTTTTGTATATCTTCCGATTTTTATTTTACTTAAAACACTTTTTATATTCATTTGACTGGCCACTTAAAAACATTATTATCTGACATAACAAGAGAGATAGCATCTAACAGTACTGAGATTGAGAATTCATAAAGCCTGGATTCATTTAGGCTGTGTTACTTACCAATCTGAAAAACCTTTATGATGTTTTTTTTCTTTTTCTTTTTTTACCTATGATGTGCCAGAAACACCTGAAAGGCTACCCATGGCATATCTTCCTAAAGGGTGAAGTTAAGCAAAGATAGAGGAATGAGGGGTAGATTTTTAGAATATTGAAACATGGTTCTACTTGAGAGTACAGTGTATTTATAGTAATTTTTAACAGAGGGCATGAGTCCTGAGTGTCTTCGGGCATGCCCTTTGAGCTACTAAGTCCTCACATCCCCCAGAATTCCAAATTTTCTCTCTTCTATTTCCAGAGATAAATTGATAACAAAGTTGCCTATTTTCAGTAATTAATTTTTAGGGAAATGGGAAATGTTGCTGCCTCATGCTACATAGACCTTGCAGTGTGCGAAGTATGTTCGAATGGAGAAAGTAATGTAAGATGCCGTTCTCCTTCTTATTAATTCAAGCGTTAAATACCTATTTTCTTAACTGTGGGTTGGAGAACAGCTAAAAGGAGGAGGAGGATGACAGATGGGGACAAGTACAGTATAATAACAGGTCTTGTGATTCTCAAAGCTTAAAACAACACAATAGGGCACCTGTTTATTTAATAAAAGTAAAGTTTATTTCTTTTGTTAATTTTTAATTAGAGTTAAATTTATTTATATGCCTCACAGATGATTTCAACTTAAATGGTAAACTTGAAGAAGTACAGATGCCTAAAAATCTAGTTGAAGGAAAGAATCTTTTGCCTCAGAATCCAGAAGATTTACATATGAATCAAGGCTTTGGTAAACATGATGTTTCTGAATTCTGCTCTGACATAAAAAGTTCTTCATTGCTTGATGATGCTACTTCCGATGAAAATACAAATACGAATACTCTGGACATTGATGAAAATGAAAATATTCTAAAAGCAGAAAATCAGTTGGAAAGTAAAAATAACCCCAAAACTGGGACTGACAGCCATGTTTCTTGTGCTTCTGTGACTAAAGAACACATCGTATCAGATAATCCGAAACCTGATTTCATCACACAGAATCAAGAATTTGCTGCTGGTGGTCAAAATGCGGAAAACCTTTGTGAAAGCTTGAAAATTTCAGAAGATATAAAGTGTGAAAAACAGGATGACTGCTTAGTAGCTGTGGAGGGAAAACTGCAGTGCAACCATTTAATGTCTGACTCACAAAAAGAATGTAATTGTTTAGAAGATATCTTAATTGAAAATATGAAGGAATCTAAAAGCCAAAGTGAGGATTTGGGAAGCAAATCTGTAAAAAGCAGTGTTATGAACTGTAGAGAAAGGAAACATAGAAGACGCTCTATGTGTTATTCTGATGGTCAGAGTTTACATTTGGAAAAAACCGGAAATCACGAACCTTCCTGCAGTGTGGGCAGCTCTGTAGAAGTGAGTTTAGAAAATTCTCAGCTGTATAAAGATTTATCTGATGCCATCGAGCAAACCTTCCAGAGAACAAACAGTGAAACCAGAGTGAGACGTAGCACAAGGCTGCGGAAAGATTTGGAGGCTGAAGGGCTTGTATGGGTTTTACTTCCGTTTCCTTCCACTTCCCAAAACACCAAAAGGAGGACAGTATGTACATTCGACAGCAGAGGATTTGAAAGTACGGCTCCCAGAAAAGATACCGTGTCCTCCAGACAAAAACTGTGTGTGGCACCTTCTGTCTCAGATATAGAAAACATCCAGGGTCCTGCAGCTGATCCTTCTAGTTTACCTGGCAAGCGGAGGAAGAGCTTTTGTACGTCTACACTCGCAAATACTAAAACCGCTACCCAGTCAAAACGCTACAGAAGAAGAACCTTTCTCAATGAGAGGGAAGAAAGCTCTCTAACGGACTTTGGACAGAATGGAGAGCCAAAACAGTGATTGACATTTCCTGCATAGCATTTGGTGAGAGAAAAGGTAACCATCTATGCTGAAAAGATTCATCTAGTTCCCATCCTTTGTTCAACTTCAGTGTTTTAAAAGTTACAAATAAAATCATTTGAGTTGAATCTACTTTTAAGTAGAAATAAATGTCTTTATCATTCAAAAAGGAAACATTGTATTAAATATGCTCTTCTCCCCTCCAAATTGTAAATGCTTCATTACTGTTGTGCTTAGAG